AGGCAGGTCAAAGTGGAAGCAGGATTGCAAGGTGGAGAAGACCATTTTCCCTCCCTCCTTGCAACTGGGCATTCACCTTCAAATGACATTGGTAAAATGAGACTGGCTGTAGCTCGTTTCTCATGCCAGCACTCAGGAAAAAATGCACAATACATGTGCCAGAGGGAAGCACATAATGCCCAGTAAGATGGGCTGATTAAAGGATACTGGCTGGTCACTGTGAAGCCAAGAAGGAACTTAATCTGTCTTAAAATAAACAAATTCAAAAAGACATTTGCTCCTTTCATTTTTAGAACGAGACATGTTATTCACACTTTTTTCTCTCTATTTTAAGGTGGTGTGTTTATCTGTAAAGAAAAAAAAAGGGAGAAAGGGGGTGGAAGTCAAATACCAGTGATGGTCAGGAAAGGAAAAAGGGATCGCTTACTCTTGGTTGATTGTCTGCAAGTGCTCAGAAGGAACTAATCCTGCAGGAAGGTGAGCCTAAGCTGGGGAATTGCCTGAGCCACTGGAGCTGCACTTCTCTCAACATGGGGATGTGAATTAGCCCAGGCAATGAAGGCTCGTCACGCCCTTTCGCCCTGTCTGTTGCATCTCAAGCAGTTCAGTTTCAGAACTTCAGTGGGTTCACTATAAAAATGTACTCATCTGGAACAGATATGTAAACTAAGAAAGGTCGTTATTCTGTCCTAAAAGAAATGGAGAGAAAACCTCTTGTGAGAAATTGTCTCAAATTTGGAGTCTGAATTAAGTCTGGAGCTGTGCTTTGCTCGGGCCTCAGGGCAGGTGGGTGTCTGTGGGGTATGGAAAAAGCAGAAACTGCTGAAGAAAGGAACCAAACTCTTCTAAATTCTATCATCTCTTTGGGCCCCCTAAGCTAAATTTTTTTTAGAAGCAATGTATGTAACGAGGCAGCTGTTTCTTTTTTGTGTAATTCATTTTCCTCACTTTGAGAACTGATTGGGCAATGATATGAAAAGTTTAGGACTTCAGGGGAAAAATATTTTAAAATATGAATTCAGGTAGAGATAAAAATTTCTTTTGCTTAGTTGAGAATGTCTTTGATAATGTTTTTCAACTGTCTGGCATTTTTAAGGAGTTTTTAATTTGAAAACAATTTTTTTCCCTTGCATGTGGGTGAAAAATATATAATTACTTCAACTCAGAATCATGCAATTGCTGATTCTTTGTAAAATAATTTGAAGTTTAAGAGAGACTGGATGCAAAGAATTATTTCATGGAGCCACTGGCTTGGAACAATGGATTGCTTAAAGAAGTTCTGAAACAAAAACCTTTTTAGCTACAGCTGGAACGTTCAGAGCCCTGTAGCTTAGTTCTGTAGTTCCACACATACATCCTCAGGCTCCTGATTCAGTTGTTTTGTCAGAGCACAGAATGGTTTGGACTGGAAGGGACCTTAAAGATCCATGGGCAGGGACACCTCCCACCAGCCCAGGCTGCTCCAAGCCCCATCCAACCTGCCCTTCAACACTGCCAGGGAAGGGGCAGCCACAGCTTCTCTGGGCAACCTGGGCCAGGCTCTCCCCACCCTCACAGCAAAGAATTTCCTCTTCATGTCTCACCTAAATCTCTTTCTCTTCAGGTTTTAATCCATCATCCCTTGTCCTGTCACTCCATTGATTTGGTTCCCTGGGGGACTGCTCTTCAGCTGGTAGTCTGTGCCCACCTACAGGTGTAGGCTGTGGTGGTCACTCACTCTAGGATGTTTTGTGCCTGGTTTGAGAATAATTTGGTAGACGTTGACAATGAATGACACATGTAAATTATCAACTTGTGTTATTGTTCTGAGTGTTAGCTAAATCTTTTCACTTTTATTATTTTGCTCGTGACACAGTTGGTGTTAAATGATAATAACACCACATGTTTCAAGGCAAAGTAGAACATCATGTTCAGGCACCAAACCTTTTTTAGGGGACTAAAAGCACACAAATAGCCCCTCGTTCTCCCTCTCTCCCCCTCCTTTTTTAAAAATATGTAACTAGAACATTGGAGTAGGATTTAGAAATAGAATACAAACTCATTCCTTGGGCATTCAGTTTGTTTACCAAAAATGAGTTTTTGACAGACTTAGAATTTTGAGAGTAAAAAAAAAAAAAAAGCTGGCCTTCAAAGCTTTCCCCATCCTCTGTTGTTTTTACAGCGTTTTGCCATGTTTTTCACTTCCACATTGATTTGGTGCTGAACTGAGAGCTGTGAAAGGTGCCCAAGCTCAGGCTGTGGAAAGGGGCAAGCTTGGTTAACTGAGGAGCAGCTCCTTGTCACTGAGCCAGCTGCACCAGCTGGGGGTAGCCCTGCTGACCCCTGTCTTGGGAGCTCCAGTGACCCCTTGGCTGCTGCTGCTGGTGTCCCTGGGCTTTCTCCAGCCCAGCACTCACACCTGGGGCTGGGCTGTGCATGCTCCTCCACCACTGTCTGTCAGCAGTGGTATTGATAAGGGAACAGGGGTAAAACCTTTTTCCCTTTCCCCTGTAAGTGCAGTCACTGCTTTTAATTCCAGGTGACACTGTTCCCATATTAAAACTGCTCAGTGGGGTAATGTTTGTAATTTGACAGATTTATTCAGCAGTTTGTGAAAGTTCCTGGGGAATTGTTGAAGAGTTTCTAAAATTGGACACAACTTTGAGATCCATTTTGTTTCAAAATAATTTCCTCCATATGTCACCAGTGATTTGTGTGTATTTTTGGATACCTTTTTCCTTTTTATCTTTATGACTAATTGTGCAGGTGTTGAAGGTTTCTATAATCTAATCTGGTGTTGTTTTTCTCCCTTGAAATCTTGTTGGTGGTTCTATAGTTGCCACCACAGTAACATATGATGAATCTCACTTCAGAGGAAATGAAATGGTAAAGGATGAGAAATATCCTGCCACCTTCTGAAGTTTGTATGTCATTTATTCATTTCTTTGAAAAAAGCTTTAAAAAAAAACAACCCCCAGAAAAGGAGAATAGTATATTTACATGTGATTGAGCCATGGGCAGGGAGAACTGGCAGTATGGGGGACTGGGAGCCCCTTAGAGCAAGAGAGCCTGGGGGGGGGACAGGAGCAGCCCAGATATGCTCATCTGCTTCCTGCCTGCAACATACCACAATGTGGTATGAATATGAAGTGTTTTGGTGAAATTCTGGCTCCTCAAAAGTCTGTGAACCAGGTAGTGAGATGTTTGACTTGTGCCCTGCACCTGGGCTGTGGAAGCTGTGCAGAGAGCAGGTCTTGCTGTTTGGTTTTATTTACTGCACAAAGTGGTCTTCTCTTCATCCAGCAAAAATGATAGTGGGCTGGTGCAAGGGGGCAGCAAATGTGGTGCCTGCACAGGGAGATGTGCTGGAACCATCCGACAGCAGCTTTCACCTTCCTTCATCCCAGGAATGGCAAATGTGGCTCCACCTTGGGAAGTGCCCAGGAAATTCACTGCTGTGGGTCTTACGTACAGAGGTGACCTCTCTAGCAGGAGATGTCTTGTTTGTTGAAGCTTTTCTTTGGCAGAAATACCATTTGTACTCTTCAGAGATGGCCTGTATTGTCAGGCCTTGGCTTTGCTGGGTCTGTCCTGTGGGAATGGGTATTTCTGGGCTGCTTTCCTTAGTGTGCGTGTTGAGCAAACACGTAAGGACACTGATGGCTGCATATAAAGTTATGGCTTTGGGGATGTATTTTTACAATTATGTCTGTCTCTTCTAATAAGCAGGGGGCTGGGTTTGTTGTAAAACCTTTAAACTAAATCCAGGAGAGCTGGTGTCCAACTGCTGTCCCATGGTTTACACTAAAATCTCCCAACTGTTTGTGTAACATAAAGTGTTCTGTAATTTCTGCAATAATGCACAGACTGGTGGAGCTGCCAGGCATCTTTATGAAAGATAGTTTCCAGAAAACAACATTTTCCAGCTCGTTAGTTGATTTCTGCAGCCCAGTGATTTGGCTTATACTTGAGAACTTTGCAATAGTTTATATCACAAAGCCTGAACGTGCAATAGAAGTTATTTATCAAAAATTGGCCAGATCATTATGTTCACTTAATTCAGATTTTATTGAGATTTAACAAAATTTCCTTATTTAAAATACAGGCTGAAAACATATCTGTGTAGTTGGTTCACCTCAATTTCCAGTATCCAAGGAACTGAGATGCCTTTTTTTCCGTTGTCTAAGAAAAGCATCCATTAAAGTTTAAAATTAATTGTTCTAATTGAGCAATAAGTAGGTTTATGAAATGCATCTTTCAATGGTGAGTTTTATTATTTTCAGAATATGTGATTAAACCCCAGATTCAAAGCACTTTCCCTGAGGGGCAGATAGCAGCTGAAGGCTGCTGTGCCCTGTGCAGCACATGCATTGTCTCTTCTCAAGATGGGACCTTCCCCTAGGAAGGTGGGTTGGACACGGAAAACTTGCTTCAGGCAGCTCAAAACGCAGAAACCTCTGCTTGTCTGATGAGTTACTGTGATGGTTGGCAAAGCACATGGCATGGGGCTTTTATCCAGCTGATGGTCTTGGCAGTTTGCATTTTCGTGACTAAATTTCAATGCTAAGGTTTTTTCTTTATGTTGATTCTTTGTGGGTGTTGTTTTTTGTTGGTTTTTTTGTGTGCTTACTCCTAAACCTTGAGTTTTGAATTTGAAAGTGCCTTTGCTGTTTGAAATGTTGTACTTGATCTACCAAAGCATCTTGCAAATCCTCTCCAGATAAATTGCCTGGTGTGTGTGGATAGAAAGGTATCTGACCATCAGGCAGACATGGACAGAGGGAATTGCCTTGTATGTTAAATAATGAAATAACACCCATGACAATGATGGATGCAGAGGCAGAGCTCTCTGGGCTGTGCTGTTTGAAATTATTCTTCACTGGTTGACATTACTCCTCGTTTCCAGTGCCATGTGGAGGGCTCTGCCTTGTCTGTGGATTCTATGGCCTTTGCTCAGTAGAGCCCTATTTTGCTGTAGGTGTTGCTAAAATAATTTACACCTTTTTTATCTTCCCCTTCAGCTCCAGTTCAGACATTTTGAGAGATCTGCAAGGGCCCGAGACCTGCTCAGAATCCTCTGACAAGTAAGTAGAATGGGTGGAAAAGTCCTTGTGACTGATGTAGGTCAGTAGTTTCCAGGTATGGAGTCCTGTGTGTGTTCTGTGTTCTGTAGTGGTAATATTTAAAATCTGGGTCTAGCTGTACAAGGTGTTGTACAAAGAAACACTAAGAAAGAATTCAAGGATTCCTGAAGGAACCCCATGAAATACATGAAGAGGGAGAGGAAATACAGGGATATGTGGGGGCATTAAAGCTGTGAAGCTACAGTGAAATTTGGGATGGTGTCGTGTTAGATGAGCTGAGTAGTTTTTATACAAAGGAAAGGGAATGAAGACTGGTGGGTTCTGCAGGAGAGGTGCAGTACCCTTGCACTGAAACTGGCTTCATCTGGGATCTCTCTTTGAATACCCATTTTGGTAGTTGTTCTTAGGGGTGTGGTGAGAGCCATCCTGCCTTCAGTTCTCTTCATCTGCTCTTGAAAGAGGGTGGCACAGTTTTTTCTATTACCCATTACATACATTTGTGGTCAATAGGTTGTGACAGCTCTTGAAATCCCTGATTGAAGACAGAAGAAACATTTGAAACTCTCAAAAGTGTGTTTAGATATCTAATGGGTTTTAAGGAGCTTTAATGGAAGCACTGGTAAGGCCTTGGTTACAGTGGTGTCAGGGGTCAGTGTTGGAGTACACTGCTGGAAGGACAGAAAGCAGTCATGAAACCTTTTTTATAGAGAGCAGCATCACTTTGGCATGGTGAGTGGTGTCTCCTTACCTGAATTAAAATTAAACCAAGGGTGGATCTCTTTTAAGACCCCTGAAGTAATCAGCATTATGTCAGTGAGACCTGCGAGGAGAGGCCGCGGGGCTCTCGGAGAGCTTTGGGGTTCAGCTCTGCTTCTAGGTTAAATGGGGATCCTCTCCAAGGAATGGATGCAAGGATGGAGATGGGAAGTGGAGGGTGCATCCAGGAGGGAAAGGCCTGGGGTCACCATGTGGTACAGAAACCACACTTGTAAAGTTTACCATGTAGGACGGGGGAGGGCTGGAAAGGGTCATCCATGTGCACTGTCTCCTGTGTTCTGCAGGTACGTGCACGTAACCCCACTGCCATCTCCAGAGGTACAGGCTAGATCTCATCGTGTTGGGATTTGCCCTGGTCTTCCTTGACATGGTTAATGGTCTCAGATGCAGGAGCTCTGTTTCCATCGTGGTGCTGAGCTCTGGAATACGAGTTGTTCTTGTTAATCTCTTTAGTATGTATCCCGTGGCAGTCGACAGAGACACGGACTTTGGCATCTGAGAGTTCTCCGTTGTTAGTTTCTGTTGTGAATTCCCAGTTTAAGCCAAATGAATAGTCCCTGAAGGATGGATTCCTGCTAGCAAATGGTAAATAAAGAGTGCATTTATTAAGAATGTTTAATTAGTAATAGCTATTGATGGATGAGCCGTGTCTTTCATGTCAACACTACATAGAATTTTAAGCTCTGAGGCTGAACAATGGGAATTAGCTGCTTAATTTAAATATTGCTAGTTTAATGTTTTGGGGTTTTTTTTCTTTAAAATTAACTCTGACTAAAAAGAAAACACTTATTTGAGTTTCCAGTGGAAAATTCTTTGTCCATACATGAGAAGAGCATCTGGCAAAGAGCCTGTTGGAAGATGGGAGTACTGGGCACTTTCCTTCTTGGGTAACCGTGACCAGAGTCCCCTGTCCCGTTCTGGGGTGGCTGTGCTGCTGGGGTGGCTGTTTCAAGCTGACCTTTTCTGACACATGTGGTCATGGCTTTGGCAGGGGCTCTTCTCATTTATGGACGAGGAATTTGAAGGGTTGCTGCTGCTCCTTCCTATTCCAAAGTGGTCCCTGGTGATAGGCACAGAGGCACTGGGACTCCCAGGGCCCTATGGGCTCAGGGTGGTTCCTGGGGGCTCTTATCAATTTGGACAAGAAGACAGAGCAGTTTTCTTGTCACCATCACCAGCACCATGCAGGTGTGTGTCCCACATACTGCTTACAGGACTTCAGCACAGCCTGCAGCATTTGCTGTCTTTAGAACATCTTCAAAACCATGTTTTCCTTTTTTTTTCTTTTCTTTTTCTTAATTTCAGCATCAGCCTCCTGGAGCAGAGAGTTAACACCAGAAAGTCCCTTCGGCCCCGAGTGCCAGAGAAGGATCAGCTGCTTCCCAAGAGCAAGAGGAAGAGGAGCTAGTGCTGTGGCCGTGGGGCGCTGCGGGGCCTGGCCCCTGAGAAGTGCTCGGGGGTTCCCCCAGCTCACAGTGTATCTGGGTACTTAATAAAGTGCTGAGTTTTCACCTAACTGGCATTCAGACTGCCTTGAAGTGACCAGGTTGGTGTGCTGGTGTCTTCTGTTCACACCTCTGGTGGTCCCTCTCTCTCAGACGGGCCATAACCTCCGTGGTTCCTGCTGGTGTCCCCCAGAAGCTCCCTCTGCCTCCTTGGAAGCAACGATGGGACAGTGTCTGTGAGGAGTCAGGCAGAGGTTGATACTCCAGTTACCTGGCTCAGTGTGAGGGGAGGCCTGGGGCGGCCAAGGGATGGGGTGGACTTCTACAGAAATCTGTCTGTGTGAACTTATTCAGGAGTATATGTCATTATTTCACTTTAGTCATTAAATGTTAAAGAAATTGCTTGGTTGCTGCACATAAAGTATTCTATTGGCATCAAAAGGTCTTGCCTTCCTTAGAGGATGATGGAATTATGGAATGAAATAAAACAATGCAAGAAAATGAGAGTAAACCTGAACAACAGGGTAAGTTTTAAAAAAGAACAGCTTGTGAGCAAAATACTCAATGTTCTTACTGAGCCCCAAAGCTGCTGCCATAGCCACTCATCAGGAGCTGTGTCTTTTGACTTCAGACTGTAGCTGTAATTGGGACTTTGGACATTTCTAATTTCTAAATTGTAATTTGTAAATTGCACATTTTGCTTTCAGAAATAGTCTTCTCAAGCCATGGTAGCAGGCACTATTTTTGTTTAGAATGGGCTAAATCTGGGGTGAAGATAAACTGCAAAACTCCTTTGAGGTAAGTTGAGGCAGAGGAAAAACAGGAAACTGGTTTTTACCAAAAGCAAAACTTCTGGAAGAGAGTTATTATTGGCTTCTGCTTTTAGATCTGCCTCTTAATCATAGAAATTAATACAAGGCAGATTTAAATCTTGTGCAGTTAGCCAGAGAAGAATAGAAATGTTTGGGTGTGATGGCCAGTGTGTGTGACGTTCCTGGCATGTAGGTCAGTTGACGTCAGCTGCTGAGCATCCCTTGGAGGCTGTTGCTGTGTTTGAATGATACTGGAGTTAGCAGCACTTCATGTGCTTTAATATGGGAATGATGGCCACGGGCAGACACAGAAAATACCTCCAGACACTGGGTCAGCACTGTCAGCTGGGACGTGAGGTCTGGCTATAGGGAGCAGTGTGACTGTACCTCTGGTTTGGCTCAGCCCCTTGGTGCTGTGGCTCCAGCAGTCTTGGGGTGCTGGGGACACTGGGGACAGTTTGCCAAGGGCCTGCCCTGGGCCATGTGCTGTGGGAGCTCCTTGAGCTCTGCTGAGTAGCAGGAAAACAGGGATCACCCTGCTGTATTTCCTGGGAACTTTTCTTTCTGATACAGTGAGTGGGCTGGAAATGTGTTGTACCAACAGCAGATACTTCTTGTGTAGCTTTGGAACCAGGGGCCACTTGCAGAGTCAAATTTGTAGTTGGTAACTACTGATGTGAGAGGAAAATGCATTTCAGTGCTCAGGAAGGAGAAAGTGTAATGTATTAAGTGTGGGCTAGAAAGTACTTAGAAAAAAATCAATATAGAAGTTGAATAAAACCGTATGAACTGTGAGGTAGGTGTGGGGTCTGTGTTGGTGCTGAGGGGCCAGCACAGCTTGTGCAGGGTGGCTGGAGGGTTTGTTGCTCACCAGAGCAGAGCAGGAAGATGCTGCTGGGGCTGTGCAGGGTTTCCTGAGCTCCCAAATCCTCCCTTCTTGGTGTGTTCACTGTTCTGTCTTCAAGAAGCCATTATTCATTTCAGGCTATGGTTTAATAAATCACAGCCTGTGTTTGCACTGCGTGTTTGGACTGATGTAGAACCAAATTTGTATTTTCTGAAAGATGACCTTTCCGTGCATCTATTAGAAAATGCTTGGGTTTTCACTGGGGTGTTTTGTGCCTGCTAGAAGCAGCTCAGAAAAAGGAAACCTTGAAGCTCGGCCTCCTTCCAGACCAGCTCAAAAGCTGCATTAAAAATAAATAAATAAATACTTTAAAAATTGCCTGACGTAGTTCTCAAAGTTTGACCTTTTCAGGAACACCCGGGAGGTTTGGGAGCCTAAATCCCAGGCAGGACACCAGGCAGTACAGGTAGAAACAGGCTGAACTACCCCCCTGGCTCCAGCACACCCAGCCCTGCTGCTGCCTGTG